CAAATAAGCAGGGTCATTCTTGATCAATTAATTAGAGTGAAATGACCCTTTTGTTCCCAAAGGACAACCAACTGGCACCAAACAGCTGGTGAACTGCACCACCTCAACAGTGGCATTGGATATCTGGAGGCTTAAACCGCAGCTTAGGTTAACAGATACATGTATTATTACATTAAGATTATATTGGTAGCCCAAGGGAGGTATCCTCTAGGAATTTGTCAAATGTCCCTTTAAAGCCCTATATAAGACGTTACCTATTTCATATCTTGCAATAGTGGAACAGAAACTTGGGAGGGGGAGCAGTATTTTCTTGCCTGCTGACCCCATTATAGCTATCATACTTTTTGAAGCTTACTTAATATCCTTACCTAATATGAATGAGTATATTTTGCATGCATCTAAAGGGCTCTAGGGATTTCAGTACATTCACCTGCCAAATGGATATTGTGACCCAGGTAAAACATAGAGTGCATTCTAAAGTGAGGGGAAGTTGAACTGAAGAAGCTTAAGCTACCTTGTCAAGTGACAGCTGTACAAAACACAAAGTCAAAGATGAGACTCTGCTGATTGCTATAACTTCTCTTATTAAGCGTCCCTGCCACCATTTGCATTCAGGGTGTGAGATATTAGCATAAATGCAAACTAGACAAGGATTCAGGTCAGCCCTATAATTTGTCAACTTGCAGTTTCCCTTACTAACAAAGAGATTACAATATAAGGCAAGGTTGTTGTTTCATGTTGGTCTCCTCACCTGAAACAAGCCTTCTGGAACCAGCTCTAAGGGCAGTCATTAAAATGCACTGTTCATGGAGCTCTTGCCTCTGAAGAAAATCAGCAGTGGTGGCTACAGAATTCATTCTTCAGTAATTGTGGCCCAGTCTTAGAAGGAGATATTTACTCACCTGGACCAAAAGATCCCAGAGCAGAAAAACCATAACCCCATATGCACTTTCCTGAAGAGTAATTTATTTTCTTCTTTCTCCCCAGAACAAAAGAGTTTAAAGAGCAGTTTTCTTTTCTTTTTGGCTCTGAGATGAAGGGAAGTCTATCTGTGTTTCGGTTTTCTGTTTCAATATTCATTTTACAGAAGTTGAGCTGATGCTTCTTATGGAAACTTTAGCCCCCAAACTCTACAAGTTAGAATTGAAGCCTGAAATCCAAATCTGACCAAACACACCCATTTCCACAAAGCACAATATCAACTTAATAGAAAATTGATAATGGACAGAGAAAAGGTAATTCAATCAATTCAAAGAAACGTTTCTTTGAAAGCTAACACAACCACCTATTATAGAGACTAATCTCAGAATTTGTTTGCACAGCATACCAATACATAAGCGACTGGTATAATCTATGTGGTGTGACGTTAGCCATTATGATTGGTAAGCTATGGTGTATCACTTTACCCAGCAACTAATGGTTAACAAAATAATGGTGTAAATCAGCCACAACACAAGAGAACATAGGATATCCATTCTTTATCCATTCAAAGGCATTAGCTAGAAGCCTAGCAAATTATATCTGTTTGATGTTCTAATGCACATGACGTCACTTGTCCTGTTGCCAGCACCTATGTGTCCTATTTCCTGCTGTCTGCTCTCCCTGCTCTTCCTACAAAGATACACACATTTATGTATGTATGTATGTATGTATGTATGTATGTATGTATGTATGTATGTATGTATGTACGCATGGTTCTCTTGATTATCTCTATACCTACAATTCAGAACAGAAGGCAGTACCAAGATACGTCTCTCAAGAGACTTCCCTATCTCTCAGCTGCAAGCTAAAACATTTTCTCTAATGACTCAGCAATGCAGAAAATTCTACCTCATCAACAGTCCCATGCAGTAAAACCCAACAATAATACATACAGTAAGATAGTAATGGAGAACAATAAATATATTCCTAAAAGAGAATGTTCAGTTTCAAATAGAATCATTATCCAATTCCGTTTAATAAGCAAAATTGTGGCACCAAGAGGGCGGCAGCTACTTGCAACAAAGAAATAATCACACACCAGAGCCTTGGAACAGGCTTGTGATCTTGTCTGACAGTTACATGATGTCTTCTCCTCAGTATGGGAAAATAAAAGCACTGAATGCCCAAGTGTCAGATCTGTGATAATTCTAAGGAGACCAAGTACATATAAAACAAACATGAATAAAATAAAAATGTATTTACCAGTAATACTTTCTGCTGCGCTAATTTAATACCTCCAGTGGACACAAGCCTTCTGTTGCATTAAAATAAAATTTGCTAATAAATTTTGCACCAAAAATCATCACCTATGACTTTTCTTTGATGCAGGCTGAATTTATAATCAGTTGAAATGTTCTTCAACTAGTTTCTAAAAATACTATTTTATATCATACTTCTATTTACTTTCTTGTATTGAGTTTGAATCATGTTCTAGATAGAAACCTAAAAGTTATTATTGGTGGGTGATGACATATATCGCTCCAAAAGGAAGAGCAGATGGTGTAGCCCTAACATGAAGTCCGATGCTACTGGGTTCTATAATAATGTTGGTTACGTATATGTGGGTATCTGGCTTACATTAAGAGGCTAATGGTGCTTCTGTATACGATGTGGTTTGATTAAATTGTCTGCACTCTTCACAATATTTAACTGTTCAAAAGAAAGGGGAAGTTTGAGAGAGTTGCAATGAATAAAGCAACTTGCTCACATTCATCCTGAGATGTTACATTCTCGCTGGGCTGTAGTGCTTCTTCTGAAAAGTTCTAGTTTTTGTTGCTATTTCTTTTGCGAAAGTGTTTCTCTAGGACATATACCACCTCAAGACATCAGGTTTACCTCTTGTGCCCTTCAAAGCTTCTGGTGCAGTTTTCAAAGTTTCTTCAATATTTAGCAAAGTTTCTTAAATATTCTTCAATATTTAACATCAAATTTTAATTTCCAATATGACAAAAGGAGATAATCATTTAATATACAGAGTAACAACTGAGCCATGATGGTGCAGTGGTTAGAATGCAGTATTACAGGCTAACTCTACTAACCGCCAGATAAGTATAATCAAGCATATTGTGATTGTACTTAAATATAATGAAATTGGTTAGATCGAGATACGGTGAAGAGTTTGATTCTAACCGGCTTAAGGTACATTCAGTATTCCATTTTCTGGGATTGGTAAAATGAGAACCCAAATTGTTGGGGAGCAATATGCTGACTCTGTAAACCACTTAAGAGAGGGTTGTAAAGCACTATGAAGCGGTGTGTAAGTTTAAGTGCTATTGCGAGCTGTAAAATTTAATTATCTCAAGGTTCTCTTTTTCCCATATCCCTACCTCCTTTCTCACATGCAGCTCCTGCCCCTCACTCATGTCCTGTCTAAAAAAAGAATACTCCTGCTTTAGGATCACTACTTTTTCACACATTTTCAACAGGAAGCTGGATAGCAAAAGCACTCACTGTAGATTGCACAATGACTCAAAAGTAAACTATTAATAAAATCAGTGGAAACTTTTCTTTGAGTCAGACCAAATTGGGAAGTCTCTTGCTGGAAGAATTTTTAAAAGCTTGGAAAAAAAAAGAAGTTTACACAAATTATAAGCATCAAACAAGTGTCTTGTCAAAATCAGAAACACAAACTGAAACCAGTGAACGGAAGAAATAAGAAATGAAACTGAACTGGGTATTATACTTAGATTGGTTTTGATTCTAGTCAGCAGCTGGAAAAAAATAAGTTAAACCAAACCGTAGCAGTAACTGTTTGACAACTGCCATCAGTTTTTTTTGTTAATTTTGACATTGTTTCAGTTTTATTTAGGATTCATTAACCTCCAGGTGTTTTAAGATTACTTTTGGTCCTGTTATGTATACATCTTCTATAATAATTGCTTTAAAACTCTCCAAAGAAGTGTTGGGTGTGTGTATCATAAGAGGAAAACTATAGGCAGTTCCAATGTGCTTTTTAAAGAGGCAACTGGA